AGGGATTGGGATTGGGATTGGTTGTCATGACCTTGTGGGGTTGCAGTAGGGATGGGTTTGGCCGAGAGTGCCTTGCTCAGTCCGTTTGGCCGCAGCAAATGATGTTAAGGGATGCCGGGCCCGTTTCACGGTTACATGATATCTGCTTTCTTCGGTAAAAAAAAAAAAAAAAAAAAAAGTTGTTCAGTTTATTTTTCTGCATAACATAAAATCTTTTTCAGATTTTTTGGATTTTGTTTTTCTTTGCTGGGACCTTCATCGGTCCTTACACGGCCAGGCTGCCCGGGGAAACAAGGTGAGCCAGGCGCCCCCGGCTTGTAGCCTAGTTTATTATTATTATTTTATTTTATTTTTTATTTTTTTTTGGGGGGGGGAGCGGGGAACATGATGACGCTCTGCAAGATTGCGACTTCTACCAATGCAAGATTTTTTTGTTTTTTTTTGGGGGGTTGGAGCGGAGTTCGTATCTCAGTGCTACCTTCTTCCCCCGAATACAACGTACGGTCATTATAGCTGCATGTGAGGCATCTTTCAGTCTAAATACAGCTATAATGACCGTACACTGTATTCGGGGGAAGAAGGTAGGGCCTCGCTCCACTACCGACCGCACGTGCCAGGAGAGACAAAAAGTATGGCAGTGCATCTTTTGATTCTTTTCATGTTCTAGCGGAAGATTCATTCTCATTTCCACATTTGGTGACCAGTGGAGTGAGACCCCTATTCTACAGCCAGAGAGTTCACACACGCTCCACCGCCAGAACCAGATGTCCAGGAACTGCCATTTCGTCAAAATGGACATTTTTTAATAAATTTTTATTTTTTGAACGAAATTGAAACTGAGTTTTTTGGGCCGAAAACTCGTCCAAATTTGCTGCTCCTGAGGGTCCGGTGTTCTTACGATGCTAGACCCCCTGGATGTATGCGCACTTAGCTTGAGACCAGATACATCCAGGCGGTCTCCCATGGATGTATGTGGTCTCAAGCTAGGTCCACATACATCCAGGGGGTCCATTTTGACGAAACGGCAGTTCCAGCCCATCGCCATAAAACTCAGCCATGTCGGCGCACAGAGCCTCCCCTGACACAGATCCACCGGTCGTCAGCAACCGTCCCTCCAACTCCCTCGTGCTCGACTGGTACACACATGCGGCTCTTCGTAAAAGGACCCCGGCCTCAATCTTCTTATTGGTAATATCAGCCTTGGGCACTGGGCCCGGTTTATTATTTTTATTATTAAAAAAAAAAAAAAAAAAAAAAAAAAAAAAAAAAAAAAGATACCGGGTGCGCATCCAGATGGAATGCAGAACAACCCTCCCTCGTGTTTGAAAATGGCTCACACACATGGATCCAACAACAGTGTCAGCGAGCCTGTGTCCTGCTTTGTGGTTGAATGGTACACGCATGTGACTGTTGATAAACAGATCCGGGTTCGAGTCCAGATGGATGCAACAAGAATTACGTCAGCAACAGCCTTGAACCGCTTGATCCTGCCTAATCGGGGAGGCCCGGAGGGGACAAAAGCTGGGTCCGATGCCGACGTCTGCTGAGGTCAGGGCTTTTGTTTTTGATATGCAACCAAGACACCGAGCGAGGGAGGACTGGCATGCAAGGACGCATCGATGGACAATGCGGGACCTATCAGGAGAGAGGGAGAACCACTGGCATAGGGCCTCACTCCACTACTCACCAGATGCACAAAAGGCAAACATTATGGCAGTGCATCTTTCCATCTTCTAGCGGAAGATTCCTTCTCGACAAACATTATGACAGTGCATCTTTCCATCTTCTAGCGGAAGATTCCTTCTCGTTTTGCTCATTCGGCGAGTAGTCGAGCCAAGCCCATACACTCCGATTCCTATCGATAAGAACGATCTCGATCATTACTGTATTCCGACAGCTTTGGCGAAGACGGTCAGGAGACGAAGACCACAGGGTGATACTATTTGCCATGCAAAATATACTACAGATTTGACGCCGTGACACGAGATTCCGTGCAAAATACTACAGAGTGACATGGTGAAAATAGTGAAATACTACACAGACTGACACAGTGACACTACCCTCTTCTCCCCCAAATAGAACGGCCGGTAATTCTGTCTGCATTTGGGGTAGCTTTCAGTCTAGGTGCGGCGAGAAAGACCGTACGTTCTGTTCGGGGCCCGACACTGTGACACGAGATTCACTGCAAAATACTACAGACTGACAGTGACACTACCGCCTTCCGCCGAATAGAACGGAAGGTAATTCTGTCTGCATTTGGGGTAGCTTTCAGTCTAGGTGCAGCGATAATGACCGTACGGGGTAGCTTTCAGTCTAGGTGCAGCGATAATGACCGTACGTTCTATTCAGGGGAAGACGGTGGATTCAGTGCAAAATACTGCAGCTGGACACAGTGACATGAGACTCACTGCAAAATACTACAGACTGACAGTGACACAACGGATGGTATAATTCTGTCTGCATTTGGGGTAGCTTTCAGTCTAGGTGCAGCGATAAAGACTGTATGATGTACGTTCTATTCGGGGGAAGACGGTGGATTCAGTGCAAAATACTGCAGCTGGACACAATGACACGAGATTCACTGCAAAAAAAAAAGAAAACAGTACAGACTGCCACAGCGAAACAAGATTCAGTACAAAACTACTACAGACTCCGGGCAGAGGTGGAATCGCGCAAAACATAGGTGATTATATAATTTAATTACATATAAAAGTACGAATAGTCGAATACTGTTAATGCCACGTGCAAATGTGGCTTTATCATTGCTTTTTAAAGTTTTTTTAGCTATTTGTGTGGGAAAGGTGCCAGGAACCAGAGACTCCACGGTCCGTATGTTGCAAAGAATGGAGTCCATGTGCAGAACATGGCCAAGAATGAAGACCAGGTGCGGAACATTGCAAAAAATACGTAAAAGGGAGAAGGAAAAGGTGGGGGGAAAGCAAAGAGAAAATCAGTTTTTTTAACTTTTTTTCTCATTTTTTTTTATTTTTTGAGAGGGAAGCGGGGGGAGGGGAGGGGGGGTACAAAACATTTGGCCAATTGCTCAACTTGTGTTTGTTATTATCCTCGTGCAGGGGCCACAGTAATCTTCTTCATGTCGTTCCCATTTTGACGGACGTCCAGGGGCAGAAGAGAAGAAGTTGAAGAACCTTTTTTTTTTTTAATCCAATTCACTTTATTCAAGTTGCAAAGAGAAAAGAAATTGAAGAACTTACCAACGCTCCAAACAGAATTCTTACCACTTAAAAAAAAAAAAAAAAAAACCTTGCCACTTACAGCAATTCACAATGCTCCAAAGTTCCAAACAGAATTCTTACCACTTAAAAAAAAAAAAAAAAAAAAAAAAATTACCTCTTGCTGCCAGCAGACAGGAGAGTCTGAGGAGGAGCATGCATCTGGTCAGCATGGAACTGTAGCGGCCAACCATCACAACTGCAGTTGCGATTCTTGCGAACACTCCAACACGCAAAAGAGACCTGCTCTTGCGCACTAATTTGAAGCACTTTCAGCCAATGAATCGCAGACGGCGATGATGACAAACCGACAAGGCACAATCGAAGAACAACGGAACAACAATCGTTTTTTTTTTGTTTTTTTTTTTTTAACTAAGCTATGTTCTTCTCTCCAGTATACCTCACACGGTATATCTTTCTCTTTATGAACAGGGGCCGGCCAATCGAAATCAACATAGTACTAACGCAACATAGTACTAACGTTGAGTCTATCCCCCTTATCGAGGGTTGGAAGGAACGAAGGGCAAAGGCCCTTCCAAGATCGACCAATGGGGGGGGAGGAGCAAGCCAACTATCTCAGCTGTGCACACAAAGCACGCCGCAGGCGGTTGTCTGGGGAATTGAACCCACAACCTCCTCAATGCCACTTGCGAGCACATGGTGATCGTCACCTCCAATCACACGATGTTTTTAAATCAACAACACATGAACTGAAAAGAGCATCTCAAAACACAATTACACAACCATATGATCTTCTTTTGTTGTTGTTATTGTTGTTGCTGTTGATGTTGTCTTCGTCGCCGTCATCATTGTCGTCGTCGTTGCTGTCGTCGTTGTCGTCATCGTTGTTGTCGTCATCGCTGCTGCCGTTGTTGTTGTTGTTGTTGTTGTTGTTCTTTACGGGCATATGGACTCATTTGCCTGCCTTGTCATGCGATCGCGATTTCCCAAAACTTTTAGACTTTGCCAGAGTCCTACCAATGATATCGTCTGTCCCTGTTTTCTTCATCTTGCGGCTCCTTTTGGCAGAAATCCCGTCGACGGCAGAGACGCCTGTCTTTTGGGCAAGCAGGCTCTGTTCCCACTCTTTCCTGTACTTGAGGTAGAGATACAAGGCAGCTCGCGCATCTTCGGCAGGGTTGTGTTCCCCCGCCTGAATGCGCATGTTCAGGTGTTCTTCCGCGAGGCTTTTCAGCGATCGCTTCTGCCCCATCCGGCCTCTAAACCGGTGAAACTTCTGAGTGTCTCGTATCAACCTCATGGGATGACCCAACATAAGAGCCTTAAGGTCATTCCGTAGAGAATGACCGACCAGCACTCGGCCCTTGAGCAAGTCGGCCACCTCCTTCCGTACAATCTCGAAGTCTTCGGCATGACCTTTCCTCAAGTCCCTTGGCCTCACGCCACTCACGTAAGTTTTAAAATCTGTCACTTTCTCCAATACCCGAACATGTTTCTCGTAAACCACAAGGCCATGCGAATTCACAATACAAACATGTGCAGGCGCAGACCGCCTCCCTCCCTCCCCGATTCCAACCATTTCGCAATCCAAAGCTACTACTTTAGTGAGATTTCCGTTGCCGACACCGGGGCCAGTGTTCGCTGGCAGAAGTGCACTTGTTGGTCTTCCCTGTGCTGCTGCGGCAGCACCACGGGCTTGTGTCGAGTTCATCTCTGCCGCCTTTGCGCCAGCTTCCTCTTTCCTCGGCACGGCACTACTTCCGACCCCGTTCACCTCCGTTTCTTTTACCCCTCTTTTCCTCCACCCTCCTTGCCTCTTGGCCGGCACAAGCGTCGCCTTCAGCTTCAACCAATTTGAATTCACAGCAGACTTAACAGAAGCCGGCAGCGCCTTCGCCGCCGGATGCCGGGCACTTGCTGTTCCTGCCCCGTTCCCTGAAGGCCGCCGCAAAGCAATGCTGCTTCCTTCAGCCTTCTTGCCACCCTCCGACGCATTACGATTTCCGATGGCAATAATATCCACCCCACTAGATGACGGCCCTCCAAGGCTGCCAGTCTCAGTCCTTTTGTGCGAGGGAACGGTTGCGCTCGAAAGCGCCGGTGCATCCCTTTGCGGCCCCTCGACTACGCGATCGTTTGCGGACACGACGGGCACCGAAGCTGGATCATTAGTCAACGGGGTATCTCCCTCCGCGATTTCATGTTGCTTGACCCTTGAAAAGGGGTTGTACTCCTCTTGTGATTTGGCAAGGGTTGGGCCTGACTGTTGCCCCCGGCTCGGCTCGGGTCTTCCGTCATTCAATTTGACTCGCTGTGCTTTCTTCTGGTGCTCCTTTTCTTTTCCGCGTTTCCTCTTCCGCTTTGTGTCCGCCAACCTGGGCACCTTCAACTTACCTGTTTTGGAATGCTCTGTACCCTTGTTACCATTGTCCTTGCAGTGCTCAACCTGTAACTTACCTATTTTGGCAGCCGGCAGTTCACCTGATGCAGACTGGCCTTCTCCTCCCCTATCAGTCTTTCGACTCTTCTCCTTAGAAGGAGGTTCGCCATCTTCGCGGCGGCGTTTTCTCTTCATCCTCTCGGCGTTTACAGTTGCGCCTCTGGGACACACCTGCAGCTGATGCCTTGAGCTGTGACTTAAATCCCTCGATGTTCGTCGTTGGCTCTTTTATTATCACTTCGCTCACTGTCGAAACGTACCGCTGCCCCTCACGCTTCCCTCAACGATCCTCCCTCTTCCTCTTCCGCTTCGTAGAAGCGCGTCTTCAAGCTCGAACAGCTTAAAGCTGCTTTCACACCCCTCCTCCATTCTCCCTCCTCTATCTCCACAACACACGCAACATGTGCATTCAAAAGTACCTGTGCACACACGGGCCTAGCTCAGTTGGTACACCCACAACCTGTTGAAATATGAATCCGACCCACGTTCAAATCCAGGTACAATCAGATGACCAAAAAAATCAAATCATTTCTGAATTACCTGGGGCCGGTCAGTTCAGTGATGATATCTCATGGCCGTCGCCTTTTCAAAAAAAAAAAAAAAAAAAAAAAAAGTTCCTCACTGCACACCACCGTATGAACAGGATTTGCAAAGCAGCATCGCAGACTCTGTAGATTCTGTAGACCCCAATCCACTGACGTGCAAAATCGATCTCACCAAAACGGTCACTGGAACCTCACGGTGGCAGACAGTTAGTCGCTGACAACGATGTTCCAAACGACTGACACATTCCGATCCATGCGCATAGTGGCATACACACCCCTGTTGTTCTACAACAGAACAGAGGCACAAATGTGTGCCCTCAAATCTGATACATCCACCCTTTCTCTCCCCCTCCCGTCCCCCCTCCCCCACACTCTGTCAGGCTTTGACCTGCTGAAAAGTCCATGAAAGTCCGACGAAAAGGTCTGGCACAGTCGTGCTTTTCTGGTGAAGTTGCATACACCGAACATAACAACACACACACACACACACACACACACGCACACACACGCA